CTTATCCTTGTGTGCTCTAAGACATTTCCTTTCTCCACAGAGCACATTACCAGAATAAAAAAACTACTATTCTGATACACAGCCAGCTCATCTCAGCTCTTCTGCCTTTCCTGGGATATAATCACAACAGGGTGCTTCTGTAGACTAATGCATGCGGCACAGGGAACAAATGGCAGATGCTGGAGTCTGTGTGTAGCTGCAAAGTTCATCACCTCACTGTGATAGCTCTCATTGTCCTAAAGAGCCTGTAGCCATCTACTGTAGCATCCAATTAGACAGGCCAGAAAGGCAAGGCAGGACAGCTGCCCTTGTCATGAGAAGAGCAGGAACGTACAAAGCTCTACCTAGGGATGGGTGGTGAGGCAGTTTATGCATCAGGGTTAGTACGCTGATCAGGAGGGCTGGACTAGACAGTCCCAGAAGTGTCTTCCAGCCTCAGCAACTCTGTAATTCAAGTCTGTGCCCCAGCAACACGGTTGCTATGAATCTTATTTATGGGGAGTCTTTGGAAGTAGAAGGCCTATTTGACAACTTGGACAAGTAGTACTGCAGAGATGGAAAATTTACAGCAGGTTTTTAATGATTACCACTTCATTAGAAACCTCAACTTACATTTACAAGAGTATAATAAGAGGCACAGTCATCAGATGAAAGCTACTAATATATGACAGTTGTGAATACTTAAGGAGTTGGACAAGATCACTGCTTGATCCCTGCTTCACAAACTAAATGAAGATAAAGACGTACAGTATCACCAGACTAATGTCTAATAATTTTAACTGGTTTCCTTCCATTATAGCTTCAGAATGGTTTCAACACTAAGTCTATTTTGATTTTACTTTGCCTTGCAAGACAAACTGAAAAGTAAATTCTCCAAGAGCTTGCAGAATTGTTTAAAAATTAAATTGTTTCCTAAAATGCGTTTTAAAAATGATAAAGTAGAATGACAAATAGCATCAGTTTCAAGCACACGTTCCTGTATTACGAAAAACTATTTCCTCAAATGGCTTAGCTAGCCTATTTTATGATATGATAGATAAAAGCAGAAGGCTGCCATAGAAGTCAGACAGTGAGACTTCTTGGTTACTACACTAATGAGAATTCCTCACCTACCAAAAATGCGACCTCACAGTAAGCCAAAAACACTAAATAGCAGAAGAGTATCATCATGGGGAGTAGTTTCTTACTGCAGCAGCGGTTAGTGGAAAGGCTGTACCAGCAATCACTATATACTTTAGAATCAGCTCGTTCTAATCAGGGAGCAGCTTCTTCCATTTGCAAACCCACCTCTTTTCTGGGAACCTGGGGCAACTGGCATGCAGCTTGATCTAAATACACTTCACTTGTTGAATGTCTGCTTTAGAGTAGCGCCCAAGACAGTGCCCTGCTGAGCAGAGTAGCACTAATATTACAAACCAACTCCTTTCAAAAAAGGCCACTTTAGTTAGTGTTCTGCAACATGGAGTTCAAAATTCTGGTAGCTCCTACACTTAAACTGCTAAAGTACTGTGTCATGTTTTGAGTATAATCCTGTAATGCAGTACTCTATTCCAGTCTTATCTATAAGGTGGGCTTTCCCCCCCGCCCCCACCCTATAATTTAAACTACTGGCTTGCAAACAAATCTGCTATCAATATTAAATATAAATCAGAAGTATTCTTTAACATGTCCATCTACACAGACAAAGCCACTTTCAAAGGTGGGGCTAAGTTCAGGTCTCTGGTACTCTTCTGAAGAATGATCTTTTCATTACATGTAGAGATACATACAGAGAGAGCTAGAAACCAGAGAAATCACAGCACCTGAATGACCTGGGACATTCCCAGCTCCCCAGTTCTACACTTCAACTTCAGATTAGTTCTGCCACATTCCAAATTTAAGAAGAGCATATTAAAAAAATTAGTTTCATTGCACTTATAGTGACCTGAAATATTTCATACTAATCACATCAACTGACAGCAACACTAATTCAAAGTAACAGTTGATAGGATTAAGGCTGTAATAAATACTTATAATCCCAGGACAGATTTTTGGTCTTTGACATGTGATTCTGCAAAGATTTCTAGTCAGGACTGCATCTCCACTAAGCCTCCCTCTTGTAATTAACCATTATTTGTTCTTTTCTCAACCGATTCAGCAAGCATTAATACAGCTATGGGCACAGGGCTCCTTTTAAAACAGTTGAAAGTGGCTGCTCTAGGCAAGCACTCTGTAACCATAACGATTCAAGAAGATATTTAGCAGCCTAAATAACATTCTCGCATTACATGACATCATGACTCTCATTTTGACAGGTCTTGAAAAATATATTTGCACATCTCAAGCACAAAAGACAAAACAGATCCTCTAATATTTCTATAAAAGCAGTATCTGGAAGAACATGAAGAGACAAAGCACAAGTTATATAGACTTATCTTGCTTAAATGACAAGACAACTTGATATTTCTATGGCAGGCATGGATGACAATCGCTTAGTCCTGTTTAATGGGCTAAAAGGAGCTATGGGCAAAATGATTGCTCTTTGACAAACACTTCAAAAATATCTGCTCTATACCCTGTTATCAGGAGGCAGGTATCAATTGCATCATAGAACAAAAGCCACAAAATTTATTATTGCCACTAGGAAAGTGAAGTAGTCATGCCTGTTTGCTAGCCTTGCTGCTCCACACAGTAGCAGGTAACAAGCAATGGAACCTTATCAAACACTGCTTGATGGTAGTGCAGAATAGTTACCAGAGACATGGGGATGGAAGGTAAAGAGATGAAACCTAAATTACTGAAGGTTTTTTATCAACAGGATAGCACACCCAAGTCAAGACAGAGTTTGAGAATATAGCTGCTAACCTGGCTGATAATCAGGATCAGCATCAAGTGCGAAAGTTACTTGAACTCAGGCACACAGGCTGTAAAAAGCAGCAAGCATCCCATTCCTGTTCATCTATGTCTGCAGCCTTCCCAGCCACTGCCTTTCACTCAAACCCCCACAGACCATTACTCCAACGCTGAGTTGTTTGCTCCAGGCACAAGAAAACTACTGACCTTTAGGCACCGTTTGTTTGTCTTGATACCATTACGCACTTGTATTTCTATGAGTGCTTACTGCCTGCACAGCTGTCACGAGAAACAGGCCCCTTCAGTACCTCTGCTAAAAGAGGCCATTAATTCATTGTGTAATAGAAAGCAATTCACTTATTCACATGGAGTCTGAATTCAGTTAATATGAAATTATCAACTTAAAATACAAGTATCCACTGCATGGAAAGTGAACAGAGTTGACAAGAACAAACTACAAACCAGATTCCAAGATCATGACATTAGGGCTTGTTCTTCTGTATCACTTGTCCACTTCTGCTCTACTAACAAGACAGTTCTGTTGCTTGTGGAGCCTGGACCCCAACACTTCTCAGAGAAGCAAGCCATTTTATGCACCGTTTGGCCAAATAAGTTAGTGCATAATCAGTTAAATTACAGCTGAAAAGGCTTGAAGCCTGAACAGGGCATCAGATCACATAATCTGTGCATCATCCAGGATTTCAGTGTACATATCCATGCTGTCCCATCATTACTGCTTTGACGTGATCAAAATGTCTCAACTGCTCTTCTACCCAGATACCCAGTACCACTGCACTGACAATTAGAAACAAGTTTTAGAGTTTTAAAGGGTGACCAAGAAAGAGCATTGTCTGGCCAAATTAAGCTTTCAGTTCAGAGTTTTTGTAAAGCATTCCAAATAAATCTTTAACCTAGACATTCCTCCACAGCATATACATAACACCAGTGAAAACAGGGCAGCTTCAGTTATCTCCAAGCATGCAAAACAATCAAGTTAGCCTACTCCAAAAGAGGTGTTCAAACAAACAATTTACTACTAAAAATCTAATATAACAAACTTATTTACAATAGTAGCCTGAAAACTTTTCTATTCCTTAAAATAGAAAGTAAAGGAAGTTACAGGAAGTAAATGCAAAAATTCTTACCATGGTAAGTTGGTATCATCTGATCATAAGCAAAAAAAAAAATCTACATTCAGTGCACAGGGCCATAAGTGATTAAAGCAGTAGATAAAACTATTTAACAAGTCTGCTACAAGTGAATAAGTGTAAAGATGCTATTGCCAAGTAAGACTGAGCTGTTGCTATTAAATTCACTGCAATGAAGTTATTTTCAGCAAGCAAATCACTTGCAAGTCTGGTTCCCAGTTATGTTAGTTCCTGCTCTCAGCTTTGATAACTTGAGTTGGGGGTGGGGGGAAAAGAGAAGGAAGAAGAGACAAGGGGCATTTAAGGCATCAGAAAACAAACAAACAACAAAAAAAAAAAACAACAATTTTTCCTGAAAAAATCATTGTTCTGAGGATGTTTTTGAAAATGCAGGCATTTCCCTGCACCTCACGAGAGAAGCAAGAATCTGAGAACTACAGAAGTAACATTTGGACAGTTCAACAAACAAAAAGCAACTGCAGGCTGCAGACTTAAGCTTTGAAAAAGGCAAAGCTGGTCCTAGTGCAGATACAGACTCCCTGCTCCCTTTCTCGCACGAAAATACCTAGGGGTTTTCAAGACTAAGCTTCCTCTTTCATGATCAGAATTGATTCAACAGGACTCCAGCACAAACACTGAGTTGGGCCTCCACCGGCTGTTCAGGAAACACTGTCAGTGATGCTTCACCTCACCACCTCTCTCCTGCCCTTCTGCAGGTAAGGTCACACTAAGGCACCACCCTTCTCCTCCCACAAGATCTACACCGGTAAGGCTGCAGGGGGAATAAACAGCAACAGAGAGAGAACCTGGCCAGATGAAACAAGATCCCTCAGAAACTTCTGATTCAGCCGGGATCAACAACACCTTAAACCCTCTGTTTATCCTCCAGAGATGAAACATTATCACTTATTCGAGGGCAGCCAGGGGAAGGCAGAGGAGCTTGCACAGAAGAAACGGGCCAGAGAAACCAACGCTCAAGGCCAGCTTCTCCTTGCCCACTTCCCCAGAGCCCCACTTGTAGGCACAAGTCACAGCAGCCACCCAGCTTCGCTGACTCCACCTCAGCCCCACCGGGACGCAGAGGAAGCGGCCAAACCCAGAAGAGGGGCTGCAGCCTCACCCTACTCCGGCTCCCACGCAAGCCCTAAGGACACCAGCTACACCCGAGGCTCTGCTTACCGACCTCCCTCCTCACCCACAGCCCCAGCGCGTTCCAACGGCCAAGGAACTGCGTCCTTCCTGCGGTACGGGAAGCCGCCGGGCTCTCCTCGTCTCACACACCCACGAGGAAGGGGGCTGCCCCGCACATCCAGGGGATACCTCCCTCCCCACAGAGTGGAGGGAACGGGAGCGATTCGACCGCATCCCCCGGCCGGCGGGCCCAGGCCCGCTCAGGCCGCGGCCAGGATCCGACGGCTCTCACGGCCCCTCACCGAGACAGCAAGGCCAGGACAGTCAAGTTTCCCACACCCCGGAGAAGGGTGGGGTCTGGCAGGGTCGCTCGGAAGCGCGCGCGCTCACACACCCCTTACCCTCTTCCCTGGGCGCTAAGACCCGGCTCCGCGCTGTGGGTCCAGCCTGCCACCCGGCTCCGCTTTAACCGCCGCCGCCCCCCACGCTCTCATCGGGGTGCCACCGCCCGCGCGCTCCCGCCGCGCACTTCCGCCCTCGTCGGCGCCGCTCCCGCCGAGCTCGGCTCCCTGCGCGCGCGCCCGCGCGGCGGTCACGTGGAGCTCTCGGGCCAAGCGGCTTGGGAGGCGGGGCGGGGGGTGGCTGCTGGCTGTGGGAGGGGTGTTAGAGGTGCTGAGGGGGGTGCCGCGCTGCGGAGGCAGCCGGGAGGAGTAGCAGGAATGTGCTGCGCACCGCGCTGCCGCGGCTTCTGTTTCCGTTTGTGAGGGGAAAGGAGCCTGTGGGGAGCTGCTGCAGCAGCGGGACCCTCAGAGAGCCCCGCTAGCAGGCTGAGCCCACAAACCCTCCAGGCTCTGTTTTGATCCAGGAGTTAGGAAGGGCTCATCTTCAATACGTTACACGTTTTAGTGCAAATTCTACTGATGGATGCATAAATTAGTAATCCTGAGGCTGGAAGTCAAACAAACGGGGGAAGTTTAGTTTAGACATACGGAAGTTCTTTACTGTGAGGGTGGTGAGGCACTGGAACAGGTTGCCCAAGGAGGCTGTGAATGCCCCATCCCTGGCAGTGTTAGACAGAGCCTTGGGTGATATGGTTTAGTGTGAGGTGCCCCTGCCCATGGCAGGGGGTTGGAACTGGATGATCTTAAGGTCCTTTCCAACCCATACCATTCTATGATTCTTTGAAATGGAAATGTCCCTGCTTCTAATGAATTCTGAGTGTTTTATTATTGTGCTGCAATATTGTGTACAACTGCTCTGGAAAAACTATAATGGCTATTGCTATATTTACTGCACATCTTTATTCAATCAGTCTGCAAATCCAAATGCTGTCTGGCCAATTGAAATGTTACTAATCACAGTCAGAAATAGCTGTCATGTCACTTGCAAAGGAAAACGTACCTTCTCTTGCTGCTTTAATTGGCCATTTTTTCCTGCTTTTCTATGTTGACTTATTTAAGTTCCACACACTGAAGTTAGATTGAATATATTGGGTAAAATCCATCTAGAAAAACAGCACTTTGCATGATAACACCCACTCTGGGAAACAATGGAAGTCATTCTTACAATTGATCTCGGGGGGTTTCAATCCTCTGGGACAGAAGTAATAGGTTAAGTAGTTGTGTTAACTCTTTCACACTGGGCCTCTTTGTAGCCTCTTATAGAAGAGAAGGGGAAATGATTAATTACCTTCTACCTCTATCCATTGAAGGCTGAGTGAAATTGTATTTTGAATTTGGAGAGCATAAAAAAGGCCTGTCACTTAAACGAAAACAAAAAAAAAAAAAAAAAAGGTAACCCAGCTTTATAAAAGTGATAGGTGAAACAATGGCCTATTGCCAAAACAAAATAAAACGGAGGAGGAGGAATTGGAAAGAGATTTACTATAATCTGTAATTTCAGGGTTGGCAAAAATGCCAGGAATTGGAAACAAGAAATTACAGTGGCAGTAAACAAGTAGGTGTGTGTGGCTCTGAGAAACATCTAAGTACTTCAGGACTGCATAAAAAGGAAATATCTCCTGATTTTTCCTGTCTTGTAGGAAACCAAGGTTTTTTACATTGTTTGTAAGTAAACATGATTTAAATGATCTTTGCATCATCATCAGTTTCTCCTCCTAACTCAAACAACTGCAAAACACCAGATTTTAGTTAACCCGTTAAGCAGAAAAGTGACTTTCTCTTTTCAAGTTTTTTTTTATAAGATGTCCTGATTGCAGTAATTCTTTCTCTGTGTTACAGATTGTATCAGATTAAGTACCACATCAATATTCATCCTGCATCAGAAGCTAGCAGACTGAGAGCTATTTACTATTTGATGCCATCCATGCAGAGAAGGAATAAGCAGAGAAAGAAATATTGCCAAATGTGAAAGAATGTTGAATTATAGCTAACACTTAAATTACCCAAATCTTGGTATTTCTGATTATGCCTGAATTGTTTTTTAAGATAGATTTTGGGCACTTGTACATAATTAAAAAAAAAACAGAAACTAAAAATTAATTGGAGCTGTTTCCTCTTTATTCTATTACTATATGTCTCCATGGCCATCTTTAATGTTGTGCAGGCAGCATGGTGGGACTACTTGCTCTGATGTGACTATTCATGGAAGATAAATATCTTTTCAGCAAATCATAGAATCATAGAATAGTTAGGGTTGGAAAGGACCTTAAGATCATCTAGTTCCAATCCCCCTGACATGGGCAGGGACACCTCCCACTAAACCATATCTATGAGTCTATCTAAACCATCATATCTATGAGTTGAAACTACCAACAACCTGGGAAGCTATGTGTTTTCAAAGCAAACACAATCCTAGTCTGCTGCCCATACCATAGTGCTGAGACTTCCCCTTCCTCCCCAGCCAAAAAAGCAGGTTGAGAAATTAACCACATCTATCCTGCTTCTGCAAATTGTTTAGGGGAAACCTACTTCTTTGTAGTAATCCAGTCATGACAAAGAACATTTGTCTGATGCCACGTTTTGAATTATTATGCATGTTGCCTGGTATAATCTCCATGGTTACAGATATATTTTTGCTTCAGTACTTTAGGGGGGAAAAAAATCTGTAGAACAATTTAGGGAAGAAAATCCCTTTTCATTGTCATTTATTTGGATTTTATTCCAGGTGCTTTGAAGACAATAAACATTCACTTTCTAAAAAAAATAAGATTTCAGTAGAAATAAAAAAAATTATCTCCAGCTGTTGCTTTATCATTCCGTAAGTTTTAAATTGCAGATGCTTAGAGATAGAGACAGTATTTTTGATGCATGTATTTAGTTATTAGCTCACGAAGAATGAAACAGTGTTGTGGGTCACTGCCAGAGTCATGAAAAACAGTAAGCGTGGGCTGGCCGAACAGCAAATATATTTTCTTTGCAAGATAAGGACTCATACTTCCCTTCTGAGCAGTTCTGTTCTGTATGTAGAAATGTATTCTAGAAAGATGGTTAGTTGAAACAAGGATTAACTGAAATTAGTTCTAGAAACTAGTGATGGGAAACAATAAAACCCATATATATGGCTCTATTTTTTTATTTTTTTTTTTTTATTGTGGAAGTAATTGACAAAGAAAATCAGTGGAATGTATATAAGGAATTAAATGGAAAAGATGGTAGTAGACCTAGTAAGATGGATAGCAGACCACCAAACCTAGCCTAAGTGCTGCAGGGAAAGGGGCAGCTATGTGAACTTAATGGAACCTAGTGATCCAATCCCTCAGATTACCATATCCTCCACTGCTGAGGGGGAGGGAGGCTAACATTGTTATCTCCCTCTTCTTTCTGATAGATTCAAGCTAGATGTAGAAGCCTCCACATTTGTCATTTAAACCTGCACAGTGTTTGCGTAAAACCACCATCTGCATATCCAGTTCTCTTTTGACAGTGCTTTATAACATCTCTGGCCAATTTTTTTTTTTTTTTTACACAGGTGACTATGGGAGGAACAAAGTAAGGAGTCAGTTCAGGAAAGATTTGTTTGAAAAACTATAATGCCTAGGAGGCTGCAAATGATGAATAGAAGGAATCCGCCTCCCTGTCCCTGCAGGGTGCATGTAATATTAGTCTCAGGGGTAAAAAGAAAGGTAGATAAACTGAGGAGGAACTTCAAGGGAGGGTCTTGAATTGCAAGGGAATCAGCACTATCTGGGAAGTCAGTCTTTGCAGATTTAGTGATGTCATTTGCAATCTCACAATAACGGAAGTAAGAGCCAGATTATCGTCTTTATTGACATCTGAATGTAGACAAGGGACAGCTGAAGGATAGGTACCTGATTCATAACTCAAGTTTATGAGAGGCTGAGACAGGAACTGTTGCCAGTAATAACCACGAAGAAATCAGTGGTGAGAGGAGAAGGAAGTGGTCCTGCCACATCTCCAGCTCTGAGGCTGAGCCAAGAACATGAGAACACGTTAAAGCAGCAAGGAGGTTTTGTCCCTCTCTGAAGGAATTCTTAGTTACACGCACGGCCAGTCCCTTGTAGCACCTGTGCAGCACACAGCAATGGTTCAGTGAAGGTAGCCAGACCCCTAAATTTTTGTTAATCTATTAAATCCAAAGATGCTGTATTTTTAATCCTAATTTTTAAACCATTTTTTCAATCAAAATGAATGCTAACGTAAAACTGGGGGGGGGGGGGGAAGAATGTTACCTTCGAAAAACAGGAAAAAAACCCCACACTATTGGATTACCTAGAATGCTGTGAGATTCTTTTTGTTCTGTTTGGTTTTGTATGTGTAGAATTCAGATGCCAGAGTTATTCTCAGCTCAGATAACTTGTCAGAAGAAGTACATGTACATAGTGTGCATTCAAACAGAGTTTGTTTTAAAATAATTTAATCAAAGACGGTTTTCTCTTTGGGGTTGGATATCTAAGAAGAACTACATTATACAGAATATTTGTGTACTCAAGAGAACAAAGCTGACCTTGCCATGATTTATGACTTTCAGCATTCAAAAACCATAATGCAGTAAACTAAATATATCAGAAACAGAAAATAGTAAATGAAATATGACTGTGGTTTTGGCCTTGTAGGAGTTTATGCCATTTTGACTATATCACGCACTTTTTTTTTTTTTTGATACAGACAGCAGGAAGGCACCACACTAAAATAAAAGCTCGCGATCAAGTAACCTTTCCATTTTAGATACTGCTGGGATTTGTCAGGATCACAAGGTAATTTTTAAGGATATTCTCACTGATACTTTGTGAGGTAAGGAATTTTACATTGCAGTTTTATAAGTGCTACATTTATGATCATCATGATTATGAACAGCATGACACATTTAGGGCCTGATTTTGGAGCCTTTACAGAAGGAGTTAAATTTATTGTAAATATCTTGATAGTCAAGAATCAAAAGAAAATAAAAAGTCTACAGAGAGTCATAAGAGGTCAGATAGTCTTATTCCATGACCCAAAGGCAAGATACATAAATTTTGGCATGTAATTTTCTTAAGATTGTAATATCATTATAGCAGTTTATGTAAAATATTAGATTACTCTATCATAAGAAAAAAATCCACAACATTTACCTTAAGTAACACTTATTGCAGTTTAAGCATATTAATTAGTTGCATACTGAACATAAGCAATCAGATTATTTTTTCCTTTTTGCATCAATCTGCTAAATATTAAAAAACAAACAACAAAAAAAACCCTCCTCAGAATTCTTTTCTTCCTTCAAATAACACCTGTTTTTTCGGTTGTTTTTTATGGGTCATGTTTCCTAATTACCAATCACTCTCTCTTCTTTGGACTCATTCCAGCTGGCCCACTTTTCCTGAAGTGCACTGCTGAAACATATATTAACTAAAGCTTTACCAGTTATATGTATGGTAGAAAGCATACTTTAGTGTCTTACAAATAAAGTTGAATGTGATTATCATTATCACACCAAAGCTGGTTGTGTAAAACCCATAATTATTCTGGAAATAGAAAAGGCAGGGGATTTTTTCCAGAATAATAAGCTAACATTATTGAGAATTTAGCTCACTGAATTGCACAGTGCTACCTTATGGAGTAGCTGCAGTTGGAGAGTGATTTGAGCATGCCTGAAAAGCATTGATGATAACAGATCTTGTGTCACTTATTTTTTAATCAAATTTTCCAAATGGAATTATTGACAAATGTACTAAACTAGTAATGAAAATTATTGGCTTTGATAGCAACCAGCATTTCAGCAGGGTGGGAGCAACACTTCAGAAAGAAGATTTGTCAATTAAAATTGTGTCATTTTTAAGTGCCTACTTCTGTCTACAATATCTAATTAAGTTAATGTAACTTAGAATGAGGTTAAAATGTGTTTCTGCAAATTAAACAAGAGCATTTTTTTATGCAAACATATTCTTACACCATAAAAACCCTGCATATTTAGTCTGCTATCCTTATTGTTGTCAATGCAGTTGCAGTTTTCCGTGTTTAATTGCAACATTTATTGCAAACAGTTGGGAGCTTTGATGCACCTTTTCCATTTAAGTGTCAATAGATTTTATTTTTTTTCCTCAAGCACCTCACAATTTATAAGAAGGCTCTTATTAATTGGGACCTGAATTTTGTTGTAGTTATTGTTATGATAGTATTTTACATATTCATCAATGGCATACCTTCTAGAATAAACTCTGATATGTCTCAGTAGCTAAAAAAATCAGACTTTTCTTGCACATACAATGTAACTTTTCACTATCATGCTGGCAAATGTTAAATTAAAGAAGGTCTGAATGTGAACTTGAATGGAAAAATCTCTAGTGGAAATCCAAGTTCTGTATAACGTGGTTTGGATGGTGATACAAATTTTATCTACCAAAATTCCTCTTCAGCTGCAATTTGCTAAAGATTCTTTACTTCCTAAAAGTACACAATATAGCATTTCATTGTTTATAAGTTGCTGTATTTCAGCGCAGAGGTGAAAGTGTCAAAAAAGCGGATAAAGTGGCTATTGCTGGAAACCTGCAGTAATTTGTTCCACCAGTGAAGTTTATTTCACTGGAAAGTTTGTGTGTCTCTGAATATCCCAATATAAGTATCGTGTTGTTATGACATTACTTTGTTGTCAAGTATAGAGCCTGTTAAGGACATGAGACAGTCACCTGATAATACTGCTGCATTTGAGAGAATTTTCTCTATTGAGCTGAATGCTTCTATGTTACTTTACACAGCATTCTTCTTTAGAAAAGACATTACTTGTGGTTGATATCCTAATATGGTCTACAAATAGCCTCTCTTTTTTTTTTTTTTCTTGTTAAATTGATAAGAGTATGATATGTTTTACATTAGAGGATTAAGCAAGGTAATTTCAAAATAAGCATACATTATATCCCATAACGTTCTGGTAACTCTATTATATTTTATCTTTTCAGTGAACAGCAACGTATACTTAGGATCTGTCAAAATAGTCAGAGATTAACTTTTTATAAAAGACTATTTGATAGAAGTTATTATGTCAGTAGTAACAATTTGCTGATCAACAGATTAATAGGTTAATTAATATTCAACCAGAAATCATTAATAAATAAACAGTAAATTAAAAAAAAAATTTTATCTTCTGATGCAATTTATATTAAACCTCCTGTTCTTTTTAAAAAAGCTTGGGAGGAGCTGCACTGGATTGTGGGGTCCTCAATCTTGGCCAAATTATGAGACTCCATCAGAACCTGCAAGCCCACAGCTCAAGCATCTCTTCAATCCCCAAGTTTTATTGTTTCATTGTAATTTATTTCTGGAAAGCCATAAAAATAAAAAAGAAGGACCTCATTAAAATAAAACCTACAGTAATTGCCTGTCCTGGGTTCAGCAGTAGCAGTCATTTTTCTCCTTCTTAGTAGCTGGTGCAGTGCTGTGTTTTTGACTCTCAGCCTGGGAACAGTGCTGATAACACCAATGTTTTTAGTTGTTGCTCAGTAATGTTTAGTCTGACCAAGGACTTTCTGAGTCTCATTCTCTGCCAAGGAGGAGGGGAAGCAGGGAGGAAACAGAGACAGGACACCTGACCCAAACTAGCCAAAGGGGTACTGCATACCACAGCACATCATGGCCACTCTATAAACTGGGGGCAGTTACCTGGAAGGGCGAGATCACTGCTCAGGTTGGGCTGGATATCAGTTGGCGAGTGGTGAGCAGTTATATTCTCTTCCCTTGATATTTCCCTTATCATTATTATTATAGGTGGCAGCAGCAGTAGTGATTTGTGTTATACCTTAGTTACCGGACTGTTCTTATCTCAGCCCATGGGAGTTACATTCTTTAGATTCTCCTCCCCATCTGTCCAGGAGCCGGGGGGGGGGGGGGGGAGAAAAGGGTGAGGGGGTGGCAGGGGAGTGAGAGGGAGACTGCGTGGCTGACTGAATTTAAACCATGACATTGCCAAGAACCAGGAAATTTTGAGTTGAGACTCTGGTGATGTGGATGTGAGCAAGCAAAAGTGCAATATAAGGTGTAAAGAACCTTTGAGTAGATAGAAAGATATATGCATAATAAAGATATGTGTATACCTACATATTTTTAATTTAAAAGTTGAGGCCACTGTGATTAGGCACAACTAAAATTATGTTTAAAGGTGAAATGCTGCTTTTTCCCAAATTTCATTAGAGTTACACTGATTTACAGCACAAGAGAACTGTGTTATATACTCACAAAGCAAATCCACTCACCCTTCTACCTAGACTAATCTCCTCAAGTGGTTTGATTATAAGCAGCACCATTTGCTCTTAGCTTTGGACAGTAGCAATTATATTGTTAGAATTAGAGAAGGGATGAAAACTGATTAGTTAGGGAAACTATTCTGAAAACTACTACTGCCAGTTCAGAAATCTTGAGTTGCCACATGTGAGGTGCTTGGTGGTGCATGTCAAATGAATTGTTGGCCTCATAACAGTTTATATAGTGTAAAAATCAACTTCATATTGAAACATTGTGATCATTATTATTTCAGTTGAACAGAAGGAATTAAATTATGTTCAAGACCTGGTTTCTGCAGGTAGCAACTGATCTCTGCATATACACAGTATAAGAGAAAAAAAAATCACATTTTTCCCTTCTGCAGAACAATAGAAGACTTCAGCCTGCAAACCTCAATCTTAAACCCTTATGTGGGTCACTGTAAGTTAATTGGTTAGGTTAAAAACTAGCATTGCTCATTTACACTGTTCCATTAGCATGCCTTGTTCATGGAAATAGATGGACAATGCTAAGCAGGTAATGTAAGCCCGCCCATGGAAGCTACAACTGTAAAGACACTAATGCCACTAGTGTAGCCAATATAAATTGAGATATCTTTATGAGATCAGGGACTGCTCAGTGTGTGCTGTAACTGTTAGGTAATACAGCTCACTCTTCTGCTGGTTCTGGTTTAGAGAATATTATGCCATCCTTCAACAGGCATTAAATACACCCCTTGCCTAGCATAAGATAGTCTTTGGCTTGCTATTTGGAATTTTCCTACTAGATTTGGGCTCCAATCACCTAAGAAGAGGAGGAAGCTGATGTCTGGTTTACTACATGTGAGATAGATGCTGTATCCTCTAAGACTATGAATACAAAGGAAGAATCTTCTTCCTGTGATTTGAAAGAAAAGACTGCTACTCACTCTTTCCTTTCCTCTTTTAATTTATGAAGAAGGGCAGGATTTACAAGATATCCTCTTCCTAAGTCATTTCCTATCAGCTTCCCACTGAAATAGTTGGCTTGCATAGATTCCATTCAGAGAAGGCATCTGAGAGTGTTACTGAATCTTACTGTAACAACTTAAAATGTTACTTTCCCCGAAGTCTGCCCAGTCCCTTTGCAAAGGTGGGTGATGGTGGGTGGTAATGTTTGTGATCTTAGCAGTTCCATTTAACAGTTAAAATTAATTTAGGATGCAAGACACTCAGGACAGCTAAGAGGCAGGTAAATAGCTGGAAATGGGCAAAATAAATGGAAGAAGCAAAATGTTTATCTTTTCTTGAGAAATGTTTTAAGCCACCAAGTTACTTCCTTCTAAATTTAGAAAATATCTTTATATGTAGCAAGCCTGGGATACTATTATAGTCTTGTGGCAGCTGCCACTTCCTCCAAGAAAGGGCAGTCTGTCATGCTCTTTGGAAAGAAAAAATGCCATGGATTTGGCTGCTTTGGCTGAAGATATCCATTATGTCAAATGCAAAATGCAGTAGTCATGTCACGTCCATGCTAGATTCAGCCTGATGTAGTTCTGCCTTTTCAGTTTCTTTCCACAGAGCCTAAACAGCGTGACCACCTGCTGAATCTCTCTTTCGATTAGCATGTAAAGAATCCTTTGTTGGATCAACTGGACTCTTTTGACTTCTCAGCACCAAAAGCTGAGTAACAGTTTCCTTGTGGCTTTTCTCCAAAGGTTTTCTGGGGATAATTTGGGAAATTTTCAATTCAGGAAAAGATGGTAAAACTCAGGTCGTTTTCCACTTAGCTGATTCGTATCTTCTTACTTTGCTGTATGATATTAACAGAGAGAGGTCTAAGCTGCCATTTTTAAATACAGTCTGAATCATGGCAGAAAGAGTTGCAGTCTTCACCTGCTTCTACTTTTTAATTGCATTGCTTGCATGGCAAGAACCAAGAAACAAAACCTTAATGAACATACATAGAACCTTAATGACAGAAAAGCTATCTGGATCTTATTGTACTGAAACTTTTTGTAAGAACAGCTTTCTCTGGGCAAGGAATTCTAAAAGGAATTGTAAAGATGAGCTCATTTCTAGCCAATTATTAAAGATGAGCCCTGAAATTTGAGGAAATTTGAACTCTACAGGCAGAGTAGTGCTGCAACTCTCTGCCATGATTTAGACTGCATCTAGAAGTGGCAGCTTAGACCTCTCTGTCTTGTAGTTCAACTGTTGGCTTTTGGCACAGCAGTTGCATGACACAGGTGAGCTACCTAATAATTATCAGGTCTTGCTTCTTCTAAATAGGTATAAATCAAAAGTAATCTTTCCTATCAGTTCCCAAAAGCCACAAGTGTAAAAACAAGTAGGTGTGATTGCTGTGCTTTGTCTTTGGTTGCTACACCCACAGCATCCATTTCACTAGCAACTTTCATCTCCTTCCTTGTAAAAGCTTCTAATAAAAGGGCTGCTCCCCTTAACACATTAGTTGTAATAAATTTGCAGCTGTCAGAAAGGAGGATACTGCATAATCTTACAGATCTCAAGGTCACAAATCAGCAATGAAAAAGGCTGTGTAATTTATTTCTCAAAAGAGAAGGTTTCCATATCCTTCAAGCTAAATATATGTTCTTTTTGGCTATGGAAGAAATAAGGCTTTTTATGCTTTTCTGGCCAGCTACTGAGGACCATGATCACCTACCCCAGATAAAGATTTCATTCCACAAAAAGCCATAATTAAGAAGAAGACCAGCCTGTAAAGCTGACCAATACAATGAATGGCAGCTTTTTTTGACACACATTCCTACTTCATCTAGCAAATTTCAAACCAAGCTTGCTCTGTCACAGGTTTGGATTGTGGGGAGACTCTTGCGCTGCTGCTGGAAGCAGTATGGAAACATGCTAGTCCAGTTTAGGAAGTGCTGACCAGCAGACAGAGCTATGATACATGAGATGGCATCACACTTATGGCTACTCCTGGTCTTATTTTAGATTCACACCACAGCGCTACTTCCTATTTATATTTCAGTCTGTGAGAACCATGCTCTATGTTCCAGCATGAGAATTTGAGTATTTTTTTTATTCTTATTAACCAGCATTAATTTTATCTCCTTTTTTTGTTAGATTCCAGATTTTTGACTATTTGTTAGTCAGTAGAGTGTCAATGGCTTATTGCTCCAGGACGTAACTCATTTGTACACCCAAATGAAAAAAGTCTTTTTCAGCATGCCAGAGACAGGGTTCCAGATAGACAGCTAAAGCTTTCATTCATTGAGCTTAAGCATTTTCTTTTAAGGTCCTATGATTTCCAAATCTACCAAGCTACTTTGCTGGAAGCCTTATTTTAGTTATATGAAAAATGTTTTAGTTCCAGTTCTTATTCTGTTCCATGTACAAACATTTCATTCTAATTCTGCCAAAACTTCACACTCTCGTTCTTGTT